GATGTTTTTAATGCAAGGTCAATTTTCTTGTGGTTGAGACAAAGTCTCCGCTGTGTAGCCCTGGCTGACCCGAAACTGGCTGTGTGGACCAAACGGGTTTCAGACAAAGCAATCCTCCTGCCTCTGTTGAGGGCCACAGCTTCAAGACAACAGTCAAACCCGGGGTGGGGGAGGGGCGGGGTGCCGCAAACATTGCCATGTCGCTGCAGGGCTGTCTTCCTTTCCGTTAACCCTGAGCCTCACAGACTTGCTTTGACTTAATGCATTAGTTTCTGAGTGTCTGTACACGCCTCTTGTACCTGGCAGATACGGCTTGCTTGATCAGAGCCGTGTTGGGGCTTCTAGGTTAAAACAATGGTTATTATTTGAGACCAAGGCTTGCTGGGCCTTAACTGTGCTGTAACCAGTTTCCTGGCGCTGGGGTTGCAATGTGAGCCACAACCATCAGTCATGATTATCTTAACAGCAGAGATTATGTCATTTCTCCAACATGCAGCAAATGCAGCTTCCTCGAAGCTGTGCTCTGTGCCAGGCTTTAAGGGGCCTAACTGCGATGGCCCCAGCATGAAGGCAGGGATGCTCAGCTCTGAGGGACCAAAGGGGACCTCCTGAGGGGAAGGCTCAGGGATTGCTCCACGCAGCGGAAATATTAACCGGCTGAGGCTCCTGCAATGCTCGGGAACCCAGTGAGAAGTGTCCCGGTGAAGACAGGAGCGAGGATACAGACTCAGAGCTGTAGGCTGATCCTGAATCCCTCCAGGCTACTTTGGGCTAATGCGCTGGAGCAGTCGGGTTGTGACACAGGCTCGCCACTTCTGCCCTGAGTTCTCCTGGGTCCGCTCTTCCATCGGGGTTGTTCACAGTCGGCCAAGCAAAGTGGAGGCTGCGGGCTGCTGTACCCTTCTCCTGACTCCCAGCCCAGGCCTGACCCCCAGCTCAGGCCTGACTCCCAGCCCAGGCCTGACCCCCAGCTCAGGCCTGACTCCCAGCCCAGGCCTGACCCCCAGCCCAGGCCTGACTCCCAGCTCACGCCTCCTCTGCTCACATCTCCATTTCCCTGACCCTGACCTCCCGAACTTCTCCATATTGGCCAAGAGTTTTTCATTTTTCACACTTGGTTGAAAAGGAATTCTTGAAAATTGAATCAGGACGAGCAGCTCACAACCACCTATAATTCCAGCTCCTCTGGCCTCCGACCAGTCCCTGAATTCCTTAACCCACTTCCTTGCTGGGAATGGGATCCATGCCCTTGCACAGAAATCAAGTGTTCTGCCACCGAGTTCTAGCCTCAGCTCTTTAATGGATTCTAATAACTACAGGTGGTCAGTGGGGTCTTCGGGTCTTGGGGCACATGCTCCTGAGCTGAGAGTGCAGGCCTAGCCCGCAGGTTAATAAGACCCTAGCGTCTGAACAGGATCCACACTGCAGGTCAGCTCACTGGCTTGGCATTAGTCCTTTGACTCTGAGTCTCAGTTTGCAGTCTGTAAAATGGGTATTATAATAATAGGCCTTCCATACAGGCTTGTTGTGAGGCTAAGATAATGTGTGCTTAAAAGCACTTAGATGGATGCCTCAGCCACAATAAACACTCCGCAGAAGTCAGTATCAGTATTATTAAGATTATTATTTTATGATTAATTATTACTAAGCTGCAGAGTGTCCACAGGGGAGTGGGAGTTCTAAAATGCTGAGTCACTGGAGGGAAGGCATCAGGAGCACTGTTCGCTTCTTCATCACCCCCTGGCACCTTCCCCCCTGCTTCCTGGAAGCTCCCTGGAGACTGAGCAGGGAGGACAGCTTGGACAGGTCCTGCCCACCCGGCCATGGTGGTGGGACACGCAGGGCGTGCCATCTTTGGCTGCAGGGATGGTCTTGTTGGGAGTCCAGATGAGCTTCTCCTCAACGCTTGAGCTCCTTCCTACGGGGCCTGGAAAGCATAACCCCAAGGGCTGCCTCCATCTTCAAATTCTTAATAAATCTGAACGAGAGCGCCACACTGTGGCAAGTCATATAGTCCTGTCTGTGTTTTTTCTTTCCGCGCCCCTCTGTGTGTGCGTGTACATGTGCGCGTGTGTGTGGTACGTGTATGTGTGTGGGCAGGAGTTTGTGCACACGGATGTGCATACAAGCAGAGGTACAGGGGTTGACGTCGGACCCGAGGAGAATCCGCATGCCTCTTTCATGTGTGTTTAACACCTTTTGGTTTGTTTTGAGACAGGGTTTCTCTGTGGAGCCCTGGCTGCCCTGTAATTCTCTATGTAGACCAGGCTGGCCTCAGACTCACAGAGATCCCCTCGCCTCTGCCTCCTGAGTGCTGGGATTCAAGGCATGTGCCTGTTGTGGGTGTCTCTGAGAGTGTGGGGGGACTGACCCGCAGATGGAATCTTTCATCTGATCCTTTTCTACCCAACACAACCCCCCAAACCCCGGTGCCTGTGTGGACAGTCTACTCTAGAGGAGAGACGTGGCCTTTGGCTGTTGTCACTAAAGAACACTTGTGCTTCCGGAGGTGCCGGACCCGCTCTCTTTACTTCTACACCACCTCCGCCGTCCCAGCCGAGCCAGGGGTCTTCCTCGGCTATTCTCTACCTTGTATTTCCGAGATACGGTCTCTCACCAAGCATGAGCTGATCGCTATGGCGTGGCCGGCTTGCCAGTGAGCTGCTGGGGCCACCTGTCCCCACCTAAGCAGATCTGGGATCACAGATGCTATGCCCAGCTTTTATGTGGGTGCTGAGGGTCTGAACAGGTCTGTCTGTACAGCAGGCACTCTCCTGCCTGAGCCCTCTCGCCAGTCCCCTGGCTAAACGCTCATAGAGAAGGTATCTTCCACACAAAACAAGAGAAACTGAAGCCTGCAGATGAAATGACCCGCACAAGTTTGCATAATACTGGCTGGAGCAGATGGGAGGAAGAGCCCTCCCACCACCAAGCTTCCTTTGGTTCCAAACTGTTCAGACGCTCCACTCTGTTCTAGGCTCCCCATGCTGGAGTCAGGCTTTTCTGAGAGGCCTGGGTAATGCCCTGAGCCTCAGTGTCTTCTGGATGAACAGGGCCATGACTCAGCAGACCAAAAGACACGGCAGAGTGGTCCTGGAGTGTGACGCTCAGTGGTCTTCCATTCTGAGAAGCATCTAAATGGACACGCTGTGGCTTGAGCATGGTGGCGGGCCGCAGTGCTCAGGCACTGAAAATATTGGCTCTTGCCTGCTTTTTACTTGGTGGTTTTTGTCTTGTAGTGTTAGGCCTGGGACCCAGGACTTTGTGCATAGGCACTCTCCCACTGAGCTACACTCACAGTGCCGCCCCCAATCAAGGTCTCCATAAGCAGCCCAGGCTGGCCTCATGATCTCCTTCAGCCTTCTGGGGTGTCGAGATGACGGGCATGCACCACTACGCTCAGCATCTAGCTGCTCTTTGGTTTTGTTCTGTTCTGTTTTGGGGGCAGGATCTCGTGTAGTCCAGGCCGGCCTCAAACTACCATGCGGTTGAGGCTGGCATCCAACCCTGATCATCCTGCCTCGACCTCCCAAGGGCTGGGACTGCGGGTGTGAGCCTGCACGCCGGGCTTAACTGAACATTTTGGAGATATTGATCTGGACCACTGTGAGTCCAAGGCCAGCCTGGTCTACAAAGCGAGTCCAGGACAGCCAAGGCTACACAGAGAAACCCTGTCTTATAAAACAAAAACAAAATGAAACAAAAACCCCCATGTGTTTTGCTTCGCACTAATCTGTTCTTTTTTTCCTCGGTGGGAAAACTCAGCTTGAAGTAATTAGGTCGTTGGTAATATGGACGTAACCCGTTTTGCCCATCCTGGCCGGTGCCACAACTTTTGGAATGTGGCTGGGAATGAGCTTAGTCTTAATCTTATGTTGCTCCTGAAAAACCATGGATGTATACCTGAAATTCCACTGGGGTCTGTCTCTAGGAGTAAGCATGGTTCCTTCCTTCCTTCCTTCCTTCCTTCCTTCCTTCCTTCCTTCCTTCCTTC